GCAGATAAGTTGGGAAGAGTAAATATTCCTTGGCAAGCTTTTCAAAGTGAAATAACGTTCTCTCGAGAGCACGTGTCAGTGGCCTCGCGCCCTCCACAAGCACCAGCCTGCCCGGCAGCACCCGCTCCGCACCGCCCGGCAGCTGTGCCGAATTGCAAGGGAGGCATGGGAAGGGACTGCAGGCTGACCACGGCCGCCGGCACCTTCCCACCTCAGCCCTGTCCTGCCCCGACAGCCTCGCAGCCCTCTCTCCTGCCTCCGCTCCCTGACGGTGGCTCTCACAGCTTCTCAGCTTCCCAAACCTTGATCTCCACCTCCCTCACCCTTTCAGCCTCTCACACCTCTTCAGCCTCCACCACTGGCTGGACCTCCCACACGTTTTTGGCTTTCACCTCTCTGGGCTTCCCACACTTTTGGGGCCTCCCGTACCTGTTTAGCCTCCATCTCTCTCTTGACCTCCCACACCTCCTCAGACTCTACCTCTCTACGGTCGCCAAACCTTTTCGGCCTGAACCTCTCTCTTGGCCTCCCACACTTTTTCAGTCTCCCACACCTTTTTGGCCTCAACCTTTCTCTGGGCTTCCCAAAGCTTTTAAGCCTCCCACAGCTTTTTAACCTCTACCTCTCTCTTGGCCTTTTAGGCCTCAACCTCTGGCTGGGCCTCCCACACCTTTTCGGCCTCCCATGCCTTTTTGGCCTCCCATATGTTTCCAGCCTCCACCTCTCTCTTGCCTTCCCACACCATTTCAGCCTCCCACACCTTTACATCTTTACAGCCTCCACCTCTCTCTTGGCCTCCCACACCTTTTCAGCCTCCACCTCTGTCTGAGCCTCCCACACCTTTCCAGCCTTCACCTCTCCCTGGGCCTCCCACACCTTTTGGCCTCCACGTCTGTCTGGGGCTACCACAGGTTCTCAGCCTCCCACACCTTTTCAGCCTCCACCTCTGTCTGGGCCTCCCACACCTTTTAGGCTTCCACCTCTCTCTGGGCCTCCCACAGGTTTTTGGCCTCCCACACTTTACAGCCTCAAACTGTCTGGGCCTCCCATATCTTTTTGGCCTCCACCTCTGTCCAGGCCTCCCACACCTTTTCAGCCTCCCACACATTTGCAGCCCTCACCTTTCTCTTGGCCTCCCGCATCTTTTCATCCTCCATCTCTGGTCCTTCCACACCTTTTACGCCTCTCACACCTTTCCAGCCTCCTAAACCTCTCTCGGCCTCCCACACCTTTTTGGCCTCCCACACCTTTTCAGCCTCCACCTCTGTCTGGGCCTCCACACCTTTTGGGTCTTCACCTCTCTCTTGGCCTCCCACCTCTTTTTGGCCTCCCACACCTTTTCAGTCTCCACCTCTGCCTAGGCCTCCCACATTTTTTTGGCCTGCACATCTCTCCTTGAGCCACACACCTTTTTGGTCTCTCACACCTTTTTCGACTCCACCTCTGTCTGGGCCTCCCATACCGTTTAGGCCTCCATGTCTCTCTCGGCCTCCCATGCCTTTTCAGCCTCCAACTCTCTTGGTCTCCCACATTCTGTAGTCTTTCACACCTTTTCAGACTCCCATCTCTCTCTTGGCCTCCCACATCTTTTCGATGTCCCACACCTTTTTGGCCTCCCATGCCTTTTTGGTCTCCATCTCTCTCTTGGCCTCCCACACTTTTTCCACCTCCCATACCTTTTCAGCCTCCACCTCTGTCTTGCCCTAACCACACCATTTCAGCCTGCAGCTCTGCCTTGGCCTCCCACACCTTTTTGGTCTCCATGTCTGTTTGCTGGACTTGGAAGCAGTAGCCAACCGTTTGTACGTCGTTGGTAGGAGGATCCATCTCCTCTCCCAGAAGTTTTTTATGGAAAATACTTATAGAGGTTTCAGGGAGCAGCGGGACAGTCTGCCAGGGCATCTGAGGTATCAGCTTACAAAACCAGACCTTTGCCTTCATACCTTTCAGTTTTCCATCAAAATTAGGGTTGGTGGCGACTTTCAGGCCCGGATGAGGTAAGAGGAAGCAGGAGATTTTGGTGAAGCATGAATGGATGTGCTTTCTGACGTTCTGCAGCTCTTCATGCTGATTTCCTGAGACCTGTGAGAGACCAGTTTGCCGTCAGGGGGGTTTCCTTCTGATGGGGACACCAGTAACGCTGGGCCAGCGGTGCTGGCAGGAGTACAGGGTACTCCGCACTGCAGCTGCTTACAGCGGGAAGGAGCAACAGAGAAGGACATCCCGTAGGGATACGCTGCGCGAGGATGAAGACAAGGCTCTTCCAGCCACCAAGGAACTAGCGTATCTCTGACCACATGCCCTGGGGCATGTTATTATCGTTTGGAAAATGTACGTGCCCATGTATGACTGGAATACAAAAATATTTGGGATTTCCCACTAGGGCCTTCCTTGTCTCGCATTTAATTAGGTCTCTCCACTACCAAATCAACCATGCATTTCCTGATTAATCCCAGCAGAGCCCTTGCCCATCATTTTTATTGTACAACTACCTATTACTAAAATGTCATTCCTGGTCTCTTGGGAATCTGCTGACTCCCACCTCTAACATCTCTCCCAGTCACTCCCAGCAAGAGAACCCCAGGGAGCCTGGGCCTGGGCAGAAGCCTAGCACAGCCAGCCTTAGCCCTCCACTGAACATGGCAAGGAAATTCAGCCTCCTAAAATGCCTCTTCTGTGATTTTAAGGCACTGGATAAGCGTGACCGTAACCAGCATCTCTGTACGCTCCAGTTCACACCTAAGAGTCAGCGTTATGGCCACCCAGCCGAACCCTCAGTCGTGCTGGTGCTCCGCACCCCATTCCCTGCTCCTTGCCCAGGATTACGCTCTCCAGCACTGGCTGTCCCCAGATCCCCCCCAGCACTGTCTCACCCTCGTGTCCTGTGCGCTCTCCATCCACGCAGGTGATGGCAGCGTATCATCCCCAGGGTCACAACTCAGATTCGCCTCTTCACTCTCCATCACCCACAAGCATACCTCCAGACTAGCACTGCTCATTAAATGAACCCAGATTAGAAAGAACGCACCTTCAGCCGCTTCTCCAAAAATCTTGCACCACCATCGGATCCATAGGAAAACTCATAAGGGAAGCTCCAGTCACGAACAAGGAATATAAGGGACTAGAAAACAGAGACAGAAACACAACGGGGTCAGTGCCATACAGCTCCCCCTAAGTCAAAGGTACCAGCTGCTCCAGAGCCAGCTCGGAAAAACTCATCTTTCACAGGCGTTGCTCTCTTGATTTCTGCCCATGGTAGGATCAGGACTGGCTACATGAGATGCCTATCTCCGCTGTACATTATCAAAAGGGGGTTCATGAGGGATTTCAGGGCCTCCCTCCTTGCCATCACCACTCGTAGCAGATGTCAGAGCCCACAGCGGTCACAGAACCCCCCCAGCACCGTCGCCCCCACCTTCTTGCCGCAGCAAGACGTGGCCCTGAGTCTCTGCCCAGCTCCAGCAGCATCTCACGCCTTTACCGGTAGAAATACCCCTCTGTGCAGGGCCACCCCATCATGGCACGGAGACCAGGCAGACTCATTGCATGTGTGGCCGTGTCCTACAAGGGGAAGGGGGGAGCAAAGCCCAGACTGCTGTATGGGTTTGCTGGGTGGCAGTTTGATTCCCGAGCTTGAAGAAAAGCGTTGATCATTTAACTGCAAAACAAGAAAGAGAATTCTGCTAACCAGGACAAAGGCAACGAGCTCCCTAATTCCAGCCACATTTAGTTCCATCCTATGGGAATTTTACAAGCTCATTTTTTCATCCTTTTTCACTGGGCAGCCTTCCAGACAGACTTTTAATGAGAAGCAGATGCAGGATAACGAGGGTGAATAAGAAATCACTGGCTTTTGTAATCTTTATTGAGGCATTCAAAGTTCCTATGAAATAAATAAATACCAGTACAGTCGACTTTTAATCTTTTAAAAAAAAAAGTTTTCAGAAGAAATCATGGCTTCAGTGTCTCATCTGTGCAAGCGACCTATGTCCCATGCAACGAATACACAGTTTGGAGGGGAAGCCCTGAACGCTGAAGCCCAGGAGGTGCCTGGGGTGCCAGCGTTCCTCTCATGAACATGAATAAGCAGGTCAGCAAGTGGAACCCATTTCATTGGAATTTCCCTAAAAATTGTCTGTTTAGAACAAAGATTTAGTGGAAGGAGGGAAAATATTTCCCCTCCTTATTTCTCTTCCATAAAACATCAGGAAAGTTTTTTGGGGGAAAAAAAAAAAAAGAAAACAGTGAGTTGGCCATTTCTAACTGCATGACAAGCCACAGCAACTGCACCCAGTTAGCTGTTTCAGGACACGCTGTTCTTTCTAAGACCATGAGATGCTTAGGAGACATATCCATGTTTAGGACTTTTCCACAAACACATTATGCATGCCTTGCACTGTTTGACTTGGAAATTATTTTCTTTTTTCTTAGGCAAAACTGTTCCAGACGTGCTGTCTTTACCATGCCTCATAGCTGCCCTCAGCCCCTCCAGCCCAGCAAACTGCCAGGCACCACGCTCAGCGTTTGCAAAGGCATCGTGACCAGGCCTGGCATCTGATCAGGGCTCCAATACCTTTATCAACTGAACTCGTGGTCTTTTAAGCACAGGCGGTTACACTTCAGCTCAAGTGCGAGGACACACCGTGGAGAGGAGAGAGCTGAAGGGAAACGTTAATTTTCCACTGCCAAGTATTACTTCCCTTCCAGCAGGATCAATGCAACTGCCTCGCTATCGACACTTTCTCCGCACTCCCTGCTTGGCAGCTCCTATAGGAGCTGTTTTCCAAAGCCTCCTTTACAGATTTGTATATTTTAAGAACAAAAGACGTTCAGCTTGTTTGACTTACAGGCCTGGAACCTCACCCAAGAAACTCGGGCTGTAGACTCTCTTCTGCAAAGAGAGCTCTCTCGATTTAAAGCCTGCAGCTACCAGAGAAGTCCCTGCATCTCTCATTAAGCCACCCTAAGCATTAAATTGTCCCCCCATTACCAGTGTGCTCCTTGCTGCTAGTCTGGCTTTGTCCAGCCTCAGCTGCAGACACTCAGCAGCACGCTGTCTGATCCTCCTGGCTGGAAAAGCAGTTTATTTACCATCGCCCTTCTCCGGCTCCTTAACCAAAACACTCAGCTGTCTTTAAAAACGTGCTTTGTAGGAACCAGCCCACTTCGCAACGAGGACAGATAGATCTCCATTATTCACCTGGCCACATCACCATCAATCCTTCTACCAAATTTTATCACATCTGCAAGGGTTACCAGCAGTCGTTTGATATTTTTCCCCAGATCATTAACGAAGATGACAGTGAATCAGAGAGACCCTGGGGGGAGCCCCAAGGAAACACTTCTGAAGGATGATGATTCCCTAGTAAAATTAGTTCAGTGTGCTCTGTCATCTATCAGTTAATGAGTTTTTAATCCATTTACAATGGATTAAAACAGACAATGCTGACTTGGTATGTTGTTCACTTGCTTTTAATCAGCATCGTAGGGAGATAAGGTTTACAGAAGGCAACGTATCATGGCAACAGTCACCTTTATCAACTGAACTTGCGGTCTTTTAAAAATTGATAATGGGATTGTTTGACGAGAGTTGCTATCCACCAAACTGTGTGACTTGACAGCAATTACGGTCTTTGGTAAAATCAGAGCCTATTACCCAGACCTAATGACTTAAGCATATTTCAAAGTTTCCCCTTACAGCCTCCTTTTTACTGATGGAGTAGGAAGTATTTCACTTTCACTGAAGTATTTGGCTACATTATCCTGATAGTTTTTAAATAAGGAACAGGAATATTTGTTTAAAGTCTGGCTTTTTTCTGTACCACATTACAATTTTCTCCTAGCTCTCACTACTACAAGTCATAAATTTTCATTGGTAGCTTTCACATTGTTTATCAGTCATCTGCCCGTGCCAGCATCCAACATACCCTCAAAGGTCCCCAACATCTTAATTTGTCCATTTGTTGTATTTATTAACCTTTTAATTTTATTTCCACTTCCTGATCACAGACACCCTATAAACCCCTTAGGCCTTCCAGGATGGTGGTGAGGACGGTAACTCTCTTTTTATGTTGGAAGGCAAAAGTAAAATAGCTGTAATCCATTCCCAATGACTATTTGCATTTTTACAGAATGTTTTGCTTGCTGCTGTTTTCCACTTTGGGGAAGCTCACAAACTCCCATCGACCTACTGTGGATGTCAGCTGGGACCAAGCCATTGGGACTGTCAAAGAGCATCTGGTTAAAGGAACGACTTGTACAGGACAAGGCCAGAGCCCCACAGAAGGTGTTTTCCTTCTATTTACCACCTCAACCATGCAATGAGCCCCGCAGATCCACTGCAGCATCAGGACATGTAGGGACATCGCAGCATCGCTCCCTCCATCCCCTTAGCCCCCGCTCCCTGGCTCACACCTCGTCCCGCAGACCCACAAAAGCTTCAAAACCTTTTCAAGCACCTCCCCAGCCTCCCAGGGGCCCAGGATTCGATGCAGTCATAATCAAAAGTCATACAAAATCATGACTCGATCTGTTGAAGGACTGGAGCTTTAGTGAGCTGCCACAGCCATGCCATGGCTACCTTCTGCCCCCTCTACCTTCCGCTTTGTCTCTTTTCACTCATATTCACTCTCCCCCTGGAAGGGGCTGTCACAGACAACTATCCTCCCACCCCTGGGGCTGCTCACAGCTCTGGTGTCCAGAGCAAGCTGCATCTGCTCGATGCTGTCCCTTTTTTTGAATGCCAGCTTTTCACAGGTTGGGCAGCAGCAGGATGAACAGATGTCCCTTACTTGACGTTAAAACCCCACTTAAATCGAGCCTTCCCACAGCTCTGCTGTCACTCACAAGCGCTCTGAGCTAATCCTTGTCCTTTCATTTTGCCAGGAGCAGGGATTCCCAGGGCAGGTGGGTTCAAACCTCTCCAAGTGAAGGCTGGGGAGAGTCCCGAGCAGACAGTGTGACAAACCTGCTCCAAAACCTGACTGTCTTCCAAGCCCAGCAGGACATCTGGCAGGACAGGGCAGAGCTCTCAGGATGATAAGGGTTCCGAGAGAAAAGAAAGAGGGATGCTGGACGTATTTGGAAGCCTCTTTGGGGGCAAGGAAGCATAAAGCTTTTCCTTCGCACAGCTGAGCCGATCCCCAGGCATCCCCATCTCCTTCTGTCCTGCAAACTGCAGTGACACCTCGTGGTAAAGCCAGCCGGCTTGGGGCCAAGCCACCTCCGGCACAGGGGCCGTGCGCTGTCCAGGACCCTCGGACTCACCTGGAAAGGTTTCAAGAATGTCTCCTCCATCGCCAGCCGGCCATACTCGGTGAAAAGCTGGAAGGAGAAGTAAAGAACAACAGGACTGTTAGCTTGTCAGTCGCCACGGCCGGGCAGACGGCTGTGGGCCACAGAGGCACAAGTAGCAAGGGACGGTTGTTGACTCGGGGCTAACAGCACCATTTGCAGAGCTGGAACAGAAACTGGCTGGCTGTGTGCTTTCGGTTCGCATCTGAGAGGCACATGGACCTGTTACGGACAATCACCATGCTGAGCCCTCACATGAAAGATCTCAGCCTGGAATTTTTGGCTGCCAAACCTGTGAAAAATGGCTCAAATCAGCTGCCTGCTATTGCTTTCATACCAACCAGAAACTTCACGTGCTACAGGGGACTGCTGGAGCCCTGCTCTCTTTAAACACTTCAGGAAGAAGCGGAAATGAATTCAGAAATAAGTACTTTCCCTGCAAATCCCCACCGTGCAAAGACTGTGAGATCAGCCTACCAGCAAGATTTGAAGGTTCTCCAGTCTCTCCGGACTCTAATTTCTAACCTAAGGCACAATAATGTATTTCACAGATGCAGAAAAATGGGTCAACTTGTTAAACAATAATGGTTTAAAATCCAAACTGAAAGATCAGCGTTACACTGGATAAGTTCAATGTTAAAAAGGCATAATTGTTAAAAATATTTACTGACTGAAATGATACAGAAGTTTTCAAATGATGACTTTTCCAGCTGGACTTTAGCTCCTGGAAAAACCTACCTAACCAATCAATGAATCAATCACCTAAACAGAAGAGAAAGCTAGAGGTAATATCAGGAAATGGGCAGGACAACTGTGCCTCAAAAATCCCATTAGCTGCTTGTCTCCAACAGTTAGGGCTGTAATTACCCTGAGGGGTCACCGGTATTGAGCCAGTACCAGATGTCAGTATCCAGGCTTATAAACAGCTATCCAATTTCTTTGGGCTTCTCCTAACAGTACAAAGATCTCGTCCTACAGCATGAACAGTGCAACTTCCATCATCAGCTTCACCGTCACTTAAGTCAAAGGAGTATTTTTACTGCCTCTACTCACGGAGTAGCGGACGGACACTCACAGCAGCAGGGTACAGCCAATACATGGTTAACTATCCTGTGACCCTCCCTGTACCAGTCACTTTAGCCCCCTGCTACAGGTCACTGCATGTTTCCAGCCCCATGGGTGAGTCCTGGCCTCTGATGGGTCTCTGCTCCCCAAGGAACCCCAGCACAATCCTGTGGAAGGACACACAGGCCAGTTTGAGCTATATCCAGACTGTTTGTGGCAGACTTGTGATGGGTGCTCCACACTGAGATGCTCTGGGATGGGTACTCCCCACCCACCCTACGCAGTCTGTTTGATGCTCCTCTAACCTTGTCACTAGAAAGTCAACTTAACCCTCTCTGACTGCAGCATCACCCACAACAACTGGACCTGTGCAGTGTGGACACATGAAAAGATACTGCCCTCCACTTTGCAGCAGCCTCAAATACAGCTGAAGATCATCACCACCTCCCCTCTCAGTCACTTTTGTCTCCTGACTCAACAGCCTTGGTTCCTTCAGCCTCTCTGTGTCCCTCAGCCACCTGCTGCAGCACCAAGCACGGCCAGGGGCCCTTTGCAGCTCCACAGGCGATCAGCCTTGAGGAAGACACATGCCCCAGAGACAGGAACAGTCCCTCCTGGCAAGTGCCCCACTGACTGTCCTGCCAAAGGACCCAGGCCCCCAAGAAGCCATGCTACGAGAGCGTAGGCAAGACAGGTTTCAACCCAAGTGACTGCTCCTCCACACCCATGAACCAATATGGGAGTTGGGAAACAAAACCCTTTTGTGGCTCTGAATGAGAAGGTGCCTTTCCAAAACAACAGAATTTGCAAGTGCAGAGCATAATCCAGGCCCCCCAGTGCTGCAGAGCAGCAGGGACAAGGGTCTTACCTGCAAGTGCTGCAGATCATCTTCCTGCACGTTCTGGGACAAGTTATAAACCTGCATTTAAAAAACAAAAACTTCAGAGCACTCAGAATGGCCTGTCCTTTGGGCCAACACGGGGCTTGGTGTGGTTAAAGCCTACGACATTACCACAGGGACACAGCCGAAGTCCCAGCTGGCCTGTGGTGCCGGCACAAGACAGGCCCCAAGCACAGTTGTACTGCTGGACAGACTCACACTGTCAGACAGACAGGCACTGCAGCCCCCTGTGCAGCAAAACACTCCAGCATGGGACCACGAAGGGCTTTCATGCCCCAGCCTGGAAGCCTGTCAGGTCCAAATAATCTTCCTTCTTTGCCATTTTTATGATGTGCTGTGCTCTGTACCAAAACACAGTTTCCATCCCATTCGAAGGGAAGCCCAATAGGCTATGTCGTTACTGGGGTGTGAACATCTCCAGCTCAGAGGTTTCTCCAGCAGCACTGAGACAAAAGCAAACCCAATTCCCCAGACCAAGGTCCTTTCCTCTTTGGTAGCTGGAAGCAAAAGGGTGCATGTGCTGCTGGCCCTGCTCTTGGGGTGAGATGAGGAGATGAGAGCGTTCCCTGTGATGATGGAGTCATGTGTGAATCCTGCCCATAGGCTGGCCTGTGGCTCTCCCACCAAAGGCCCTGACTAGCTGCTGTGTTAGGCTGGTGCCAAGCTACTGGGGTTTTGCCACCACCTTTTAGGAAGTGATTCCTGGAGACATCCTCCTTCTTACCTGTATCGAGCTGATCATGGTGCTAAGGGCAAACACGGTGGCCGAATCCCGCAAGGTGGACTGACTGTCAAAGGTCCCCTGCGTGTCCATCAGTAACACTGCAACCTGAGAGGTAGAAAGCTCCATGTCAGCTTGGATGCACTTGTTCAGCATCTGCATCCAAGCAAAATCACTCTCAAATGCCAAAGGGGTCGGGGGGTGAACGTCAGCTGCATTATTGTGCTGGGAATCTCACTGGTTCTGGTTCAAACTCATAATTGGTGGAGGACAAAGGAAAAGAGCAGCCCCAGTCACTCTTGACAGCGCGATGATTCCAGCAGGCAGCGAAATGAATGCTATGCAACGCAGAGGAGGGAACTGCTTTGCTCCTCAAATACTTGCTGTCAGAGCGGATGGGTCTTTTCCTAAGTCTTCATTAGCTTCATGTCACCGAAGCCAAACAGGGCATTGTATTACACCTCCTTAACCCAAAACACCAGTCAGTATTAGAAATCACACCGTGAATAATTCAGTGTCACTCTGGTGTTGGGGTCTCTATTAAAGAGCAGACAAATACAAATATTCCTGGCTATAAGTTGAATTTACAGGATACCCCAAAATCCAGTTTGCACTGTATTTGACCACCCTGAATGAAGACACTCCATTTTGCAGCTACTGCTCTAGGAAAGGGGAGTAGTTTGCAAGGACCTCACATTCAAGATCCCTGGGAAGAGCAGAGAAATAAATTCTGGGATGCCAAGAGTTAGAGGGACACCTAGAGAGCATATCAGGGACACCTAGACATTGTATCAACTCATTGCATTAAACCCATTAGGGATATGGTATTGAAGACCTTCTCTAAACTTGCACAGGCATTTGAGCCACTCAAGATAAGGCAGGAGAGTCTTACAAAAGCTGGAAGAGAAAAATGAGCTGACCAGCAACAGACAGCAATGCAGCAGAGAAGCACACACCTTTTTACCATCCGGCTTGTCCACCAGGAAAACCTCGCTCCATATCTGAATGCCAGTCGTCTCCCGCTCAGACCCTCCCCTCCAGGAGAAACCAGTCAGAGGCTCATTGTAATCTCCGACCCAGTCCACTGCTTCCTGCAGGGAGGAACAGAAAAAATTGCTGAAGTTCTTATCTCACTTTGGTTTTACACTTTCCCTCTGTGCCGCCTCCACCCCAGCACTGGAGGGGGGCAGCCCCTGTTAAGAGAGGTCTCCTACAGGGCAGCAAATGTGGACACCTGTGCTCCAAAGTCAAGAGTCCACTAGAGACCCACTGGTGCACCAGGCTGTGGAAGGATCTGCTCTATTTTATTTTGTGAAGCCAAGTGTCCTGCTCATCCCTGGCCGGTACACGGGAGCAATGAGTAGCAGCACCATACTCCTGGGAAGAGCCACCTGAGCTGGATCCGTACCTTATTGTACATGTACCGCAGCATGAAGTCCATCAGGAATGATTTTCCTTTTCTAAAAGCTCCAGCAACAGACACAGCCACGACCTCTTTATCTCTGACAGCCTCTGAGAGGAGGATGCGGTTCAGTGCAGCTTCATCCAGCTCAAAGGAATGGTCATCTTTGACAATGAGGACTTGGACTGGTCCTGCCTTCCTCACGGACTCCTCCTCCTCTGAGCTCCACTCGTAAGTCTTCTCTGCAAAACTACCTGCATAAACAAGTAAAACAAGAGCTGTTAGGTTCCTTCTTCTGCAAAGTGCAGAATCAGACAGCAGGGCTGGACAGGGCCAGCTGGCCCAAACAGCCATCCCAAACCAGCATCGTTCAGAGCAGGTATCTGTTGAACCTGTCCTCAGACATCTCGATGGAGACTCCATGCCACTCTGGGGCCATCTGTCCACGTCCTCCCTGTAGGCAGAGAGTTCCCTGCTGGAATCTCCCTTGACAAAACACATCCATTACTTTTTGTCCTACGAGAGTTGACATGGAGAACAGATAACATGGAGAACAGATCACTCTCTTCTTGCCTGCAACAACTTCTTACACACACAAAGACTGCCATAACACCTCCCTTAGCTTTTTCTCTGCTAGAAGAGAGATGTCCAAGCCCCTCAATCATCCCTTGCTATCAGTCTAGGCATCTGACTGCTCTGGACACAGCCCACCAGGTCCTTCCTGAAGGCTGTCTCAAAAATGGATCCAGCATTCAAGCTCAGGTGTCTAAGTACCTCATGGCTCTACCAAAGGACTCTGCCTTTATGCAGCCTGTGCAACTGCTGTTTCTGTAGCAACAGCAGAGTCTCGCTCCATCTGCAGTCTGCACCAATGCTCAAAGTGTAATCTGCTGCTTCTGCCATCGACCTCATCGACAGCCTCACCCCGAGACAGCCCCAGCAGGAACCAGGCCACGAAGACACGTGCCCATCTTGATAAAAGCCACTTCTTCACTCCCAAGTGGAAAGCATATGCAAAGCACAGGCACTGCTCACTTTCCCACTTCAAAATGGCAAGGTTCCCTGCAGAGCTGCTCCCCGGTACAGAGGCGAGTGCTGCCCAGGCCGTGTAGCATTCATACGGCCTTACAAGAGGGTCTCACCTCCCCACCGGGACAGGGGAGGAGTGAGAAGCATGATGCTGCAGCAGGAGCCTTTGGAGGGGATGGGCAGGGACCCAGCGTTCCATCACCGCATCCACGCTCGGCAATGGCAGCAGGCCAGACAGACACGGATCACCAGGCCGGCGCAGCTGAGACGATTACAGCTTTTCATGGCCTCATGGTCCGTTTGGGCCGCTTCGTGTACCTGCGACAATACGGGAGATGGATGCGTTTTAAGACCTGCCATCCACAGACACTGCAGCCCTGGGGTTTGCAAAGAGCAGGCCGGCTCCAGTAATTTTCCTTTTGTTGTCTCCAAACTTCCCAGCACAGGAAAGAGATGCTGAAGGTGATTAATCATGCCAGAAGCTGAAGGTGATTAATCATGCCAGTCACCTCACCTTACAGCCAGGCGAAATCTCCTCGCCAGCAGCGAAGGGAGCGTGTGACCGAAAGTTCCCCCACATTTCTACAAAAACTTCCTGGCTCATTGGCTCAGGCTGCAACTTTCCAAACATAGTAGCCTCAAGTTAAACCTCCTTGGTCTCTGTTTCAGCCCCTGACCTCGGGGACCCAGTTTTCAGCCAGTCCCAGCTGTTTCAGAGCACAAGGACTATGTGTGCACATGCTAAAAGGCAAGCTATAAATACCAAGAGGAATAGGGTTTGCCCATTCTGGGCCTCTTCATAAAGAAGCCTCCAGCAGCAACTTCATATTTGAAATAACAGCAGTGCTTTTGTACGAGTTTCTGATTTCCTATGATCCTGCAATGAAATACCAGGATCATTAAGCCTGGTTGCTAGGGGATTTCTGGTGGCTCTCGGACATATACTACGAGCTTTCTTTGCTCACAGTTGAAAGACAAAGCTCTTTTCTTCCCCATGCTTGGAGGTTTTTTAGCAAAACAAAAGTCCCAAACGCTCTGAAAAGCTAGATTCTCCACCAGACTGCAGCAGCTGGGGACCAGCAGCACCAAACTCCCTTTAAACACCAAACCCCAGCCCCTGCCCTGTGTCACTGCTTAGGGGCCTCCAGGAAAAAAAAAACAAACCAAAACTAATTTCAAATACACCCAGGATCCAGGCACACATCACCAAATGGCTTGAAAAATGAAGGTCTCTGAGAGCAGTCAGTCCTTTTGCCACACACACCAAACACCGTTTCCACCATTAAGATCTTCCCTACATGTAAGTATGGACAGGTGCCAAAGGGCCACCGGCTCGCGTGCTCTTTTTAAGCACGGCCGTGCTGCAAATGCCATATAAAGTCTATGATAGGAAATAATACCTCCTCTCCCACGGTGTTTCCCAATGCCCTGCTCAGCTAACTGAATCCAATTTTTTTTTTCTTTTTACAGCTGCACAGAAAGGACAGTGGAGACAACCTTGTATAGGATGTGACTCATGGCAGAGGCAGGAAAAAATTGGTACGTCAAATTAAATCTAAACATTTCCATCTCTAGCCAAGCAATCAGGGCTGTAGGCGAAATAGCTTTGCCACCTCCCCAGACCAGACAAGTCCCATCTTGCAGAGATGCAGAGAGAGGGAGAGGGGGACAGCATTTTACTCGTCCCACACTAGAAGTAATGGGAGCTGCAGCCAGAGCACCCAGCTGGGTACCAAGACGGGCACAAACCCTGCTGTCTGCAGGCTTCAAGCACAGGGAAAGGCAGCACGGATGCCCCCAGCCCAGAGAGCCGAATGGACTGCCAGTGCTGGTCAAGGATCCGAGCACCATGACAGAGGACTGAGGGGGGTCCCTCGCATCCTCCTACCAGAGGGACAGTTGGTGCCAGATTCCCCCTCTTGCTGCTGCTGGTACCTGGATGGGATCTCCCAGATCTTCCTCTCCCTCCGGTTCAGCTGCTGGAAAGAGCAACAGCCAGTGCAGAGGAGAATAGATTGTGTTGTCCCTTCAAAACAACAGAATCTGTAAGGAGCGGGGTTTTTTTAGCAGATATTGACAGATTTGGGGACAATGTCTCCAGGGACAGGTAACAGTCCAAAGCGGCCATGGTCTCCCAGGGGATGTCCTTGCTTCCATCACGTGAACACCAGGAAAGCCAGGCTGTTTGCACAACATAGGGGCAAAATACAAAGTATTACGGGCAGGATATACTGATTTCCCAGTTCACTGGAAAGATCAGGAGAAAAGGCATTATATTAAGCAGGTCTCTGAACTAATTTCAGCCCTGTTATCACATAATCACAGACTGGTTGGGGTTGGAAGGGCCCTCTGGAGATCACCCAGTCCAACCCCCTGCCAAGGCAGGGGCACCTACAGCAGTTGCACAGGATCACGTCCAGGTGGGGTTTGAATCTCTCCAGAGCAGGAGACCCCACAGCCTCTCTGGGCAGCCTGTGCCAGGGCTCGGTCACCCCCACAGTTCGGAAGTTCT